TAATAATTCTGAATTATTAATCCAGACATCAGTTTTGTCAACGGAAGTCATTTCTTTGATATATCTGATTAAAGTACTCCGGAAAACAACGAGCGCCTTCAAAATTAGGTAGATTTATGAATAAAAATATCTATAAAAAAGTAACTCGCAAAATATTTTTTTTATTTTCTAGCTGGTTTAATCATAAAACTGTACTGTGGTTCCCCCCAAAATCAACCTTATCAATATTATTCTACTAGAAATCCGAATGTGAATATAAATATTAAAAACAAACATCGATTTTAAAATGGCTGACAATCGGATACTTGTTAAGAATGGCGGATTTATGTGTCCGACTTAATATGAACTACCAATATACCAATTCCGACCGGGTCTCCAACATTAGTCGTCTCACACGACCGAAGTCATCAAACCGGACTACTGGCAATCGTATTATGACGTATATAATTCCAACGTACGCCACGTAACCTCACTTTGCGTATCAGCGATTTGTGGATTTGTGCAACTATATTTTAGTTTTTGTTTTCTCTTCCACTTTTTTAAGATAGTATATATACAAAATTTAAAAGAATTGGAACCAGTACCTCACATGTGGGAGGAGGATGGGGTCTGCTGGTTTCCTAAGCTTAAAAATGAAACGAAGTTGCACCAGTGTAACTAGTGATGAAACTAAGTTGCAACAGTGTAACAGCATCTCTTCCGGATAAAAAAACATTCGTGGGTGGAGGCAAGATATCACTACTACTATTATTATTTTGCAAAAGCGTCGACCTCTTTCTGTGAAATGTAGATGAATGTCTAAATGCCTTTTTAGTGTTTTTTAGGCATAATAAAAAAAATAAGTTTGTTTACAAAAACTTTTTATTAGGTTATGTTCATGATGTTCATTAGGCCGCAAATGCTACTTAATGGGTTGTATTTACGGACGTAAATAGAGATACGTAAATTAGGTTATAAATATGAATATAAAATACAACAAAATATAATTGGACGTTACTTTAGGGATTATCAGTGAGACGTATCCTATTCGGATACGGGTAGACGTCGGGCTAGTTCAAGTATATGTACGTCGTGCAAGCCAATGTGGGAACGACGTTGGGAAATTAATAAAAATGGTACGTTGTTATTTTGTACGTCGACAGATCGTTGGATTTATCGACTCGGATCCAACGACGTCGCTTTTAATAGGAAAGTGACGTCACCGGTCGTATAACCAGCACCCGACCAAAATTTGCACAAAGTCTGACGTCGCTTCAGGTCAGATTTAGTTCGAAGTCAGATAGATGCTACTTGAGTGCGTACCTGTAACTTTAGTGTCTTTTTGCATAAGTATGTAGAATTTTAGATTTGTATAGGAGGAGGCAAGTTAAATAAATCTATTGTGTTTCCCTTTCTTGAGTTATAACTCATAATACGTCTCAGGATAAAAGCCAGTATCTGAGACAGTTTAAAAGAGGTTATTTCTCCATCTTCGATATCATCAGTCGTACAGTCGTACCAAAGTTTATGGCACGCATGATTGGCGTCTCGGCGTACTCAGTGATGAGGTGTTTCCCCATTTTCCCCATAGAATCTGCATTCGCCGTTGTTTATTAGCTTCGTCGTGAAAATCCAATGAGTGTTCTTACTTAAATCTAGGAAACCTTTGATTTTTCTCGGTCGTCACCTCTTAGAAATTTCTTCGAGTGTCTTAGACCGTTGGAGGATTCCCATACCAGGTTACGGATGGAGTCTTCCAGGTACTTGAGTTCTTCTTTGTTGCATGGTTTCCATTTTGGAAGCAGAACAGTTCTGGTCCAGTTAGTGGAGTGGTCGCTCCTTTTTTGGGTAGATAAGTATATAGAATAGATTGTTTTCAAATCGAGTTTTATTTTTGGGTGAATAGAAATCACGCGGTAAAAGTTAAAATTTTAGAATTTCAGTCTGGTAAAAAAACTTTGCAAGCCTATTCCTAGTAGTTATCACTATAAAACCCTATTTTCCTGACCAAAATTAAGTATGTACAGGTGTGTTTTACGATACAGTATGAAATAAAAATTGTTTAAATCCACGGCGACCTTTTAAAAATCTCCACTTCGTCCGAAACTACCCTGTCCTCTAACCCCTTCCCTCTTCCGACGCAGGCAGTTATTTCTGGCAGTAAAGTCCGTAATAAAGTTAGTGGACAGCTTTAGCGGTCCACGGAGTCCCGGGAGCGACCGGACTCGACCAGCCCACCGCACCGTCCAGATAATAAAACTCAACGTGCCGGCCCGGCCGGACAAAGCTCCCAGCTCAAGTAAATTGCGGTCCCGGATTACTTCGGATTTGTCCGGGAGGAGACGGCGGCGTATACCTATACCGGCGGCTAAGAAGGAGCGGGCGGCGTGGCTAACTTCTAGTTTGCCAGTTTAATCGACGAACGAGGAGTTACTGCGGGTTAAATTTATTTTAGGTTGATAGTCGAGTAAAAATTAGGGTGAGTTGAAAGAAATATAATAGTCTTTAGTAATTCAAAATGTTCCTGTTATAGAGCACAAAAATGTTGAAAACGTGCATGCTACATATCGATATTGTTTTCACAGGAGAAAGAAAAGATTCAAGTGAGCTCTATTCCTATTCATTCTGAAAAATAAAATTCCGAATTAGCTTCAATCTACTGAGGTGTTCATTGAGGACCCAGTGTCCGGTTAAAACCCCCGTGACAATCCGAAGATCCTGTTCTTACTAAATCAAAGAAAATCTTTGACGTTTCTCGGTCGTAATCTCTGGTTGTCCTGGAGAAATTTCTTCGACTGAGTGTCTTGATCGTTGGAGGATCCTCATTCCATGTTACAGATGGAGTCTTTCAGGTACTTGAGTTCTGCTTTAAATTGGTTTCCAATTGGGAAGCACAAAGGTTCTTGTCCAGTTAGTGGAGTCTTCGCTCCTTTTCTAGCTAGGTAAGTATGTAGAACAGATTGTTTTCAAATACTTACTCGAGTCTTACTTTTGGGTAAATAGGAATCTTGGTAAAAGTTAAAATTTGTAAAATCGCTATTTTTGGGGCTTACTCAACCGGGTCTCACAATGCAAATTCACCTCAAATATCCATTTAGTTGGTCATTGGCAAGCACTCTCTCATTGTACATGAAAATAATAAAACAAACATTTACTGATCTGAATAAAATTCATAGTTAAATACTAAGACTCACCCGGGGGTACTCCGCCCCCCTTGCCACTGACATCACTGACATTCTATTCAATATATCCCATGCCATATCTTCCATCTAATTCAAATATTATTCGGATCTATTGGTTAATAATCTTCAACAACTATCTAGTGTTAATCCTAAAATAGTATAGGGGCTTCCCCGGACGCAAATCTGGCGCTAAACAGATTTGCATCCCAATTAATGAGGCTAATTGGGGACCTCACCAACGCCCCACCGTGTCAATCGAGAAGCAAGAGAGATCTCAAACTCTCAAGACCATTCTCGAAGGAACGACGTCACAAGAGCTTTTCTACTTCCATAGTCAAAAGACTCGCTACTTCCAAATGTCAGCTCTGTGACAAAACACAACACTACAACCGGCCGGCCCGTCTACTACTGACCCGCCCGCCGCCGGCAAGCTAAGTCTCCTCTTACATCACAATTTTACCTGATCACAAATATTTACATCGCTTGCCAATGAATCATACTATTTTCTCTAATCGACTTTCAAATAGAGTGTTTTAGCATTACTAGATAAATAAATAGAGAGTTTCCGAAGGAATGCATATTGTTTATTAGAATAGTGAATAAATAAGTTTTACAAATTGTAGAATTTCAGTCCGGTAAAAAGATAGGGCTTATTTCTATACACTGAATTGTAAATCAATTAATTAGTAAATTTAATAACACTATTAAGGGTTATTTCTTGCCACAAATTATTGTAATAAATTTACCATCCATTCTTTAGTTTTACAACTCGTTTGTAAAATCGCTGTATGACTAATTTGTGGCATGTATGTAAATATGTTATAATATATCTTTATAACCTCCAATATTCTTTGTGAATTTATTTGAAAAATGTATATCTCATAGTAAATTTACTTATTCATTGTAAATGTATCTTTTAAAATCGGAAACTTCTTATAATATTACTATAGAATAGCAATAAATTAGAATATTTTATTATAGTGAATTTACAATTACTTTTGTAAATTCACAAAGCGTTAGTAAATATATTAATAAATTTAATAAAACATGTGTTTATAATTATAATATTTATTATAAAGGTTAATAAAAAGTCACAAAACAGAACTTGTGTATGTAAGATACTCATTGCCATCTCTTTTTATCTAGAACAACCTTACTGGAATTCTGCGCCTAATCAAAATGGTAACAAAAAATCAAATAGATATAAAATAAAAAAAATATATGCAGGAAAAAGGTATCTAATCAAAACAGTCAACTTACCAACTTAGAGGGCTGCCTTTATATATATATATATATATATATATATATATATATAATATATATATATATATATATACTATATAGGGCTATATATATATATATATATACAGAAACTGCATAAAAACATTAAATATAATATACTTACCCCCCCCTTAAATTCTAAAACAGTAATCACCCACGCTCTAAGACTCTCCTAAACTATTCTTCGTCTTTCCTCCTCACTACGTTTTCAATCGATTACTTAATACGCATCAGCTTTACAAGAAGCCACATGACGTGGCGTCATTTTTTACTAAATACTAAATATATTATAATAAATGTAACCAAGTTTTGTGAATATGTCTAGACACATGCAATTTTATTTCAGAAATTGTATTGCTGATTTAAATTTACACAAAACTCACAAAACTCATTGTGAAAATAATATCGTTTTATAATAATCATTTAATATTAATAAACTGTTTTGCAAAATTACATTTTTTTGTGAAACTATGTAAATATATTTTATTTTTACAAGTTTTTTTTATTAAAATACTATGATGTATCAATTTTTTTTGTAAAATTATTTATATTTTTTAGTGTAATGTGGGGCACGAAAATGATGAAAACGTGCATGCTATATGGATATCTTTTTTACAGGAGAAACAAAACACATTTTCAAGTGATTACTTTGAATGTTGTAGCCAAATGGGCCTTATGAATAAAAATGAGCATTTAGTTTATACTCAAAAATTTGGAGTAAAGGCTCCCTGTGGTATGAATAAAAACCAGAAGCAGATACTTCGCTTGAGTAGGTTCTCTTAAGTAAAATTTGTTGTGAGTATGTTCTCATTTTTGATATGAATAAAAATGTGTTTACGCTCGTTACGGTGAGAATGTACTCCATAAATTTTCTGTCTGATAGTGACCAGACTTCAGTGTGACCGTGGCAGAGCTATGGCCGCGTTCGTGCTTAATTTGCGTTCAAAAAAATATTATAAACCGAGAAGAAGTACGTGTGATCGTGACTTTAAAGCAATGTATCGATTTAATAAAGAAAATGTCGAGTGACTATCAAATAACTTTTTGAGTGTAGAATCCGAAGAAACAAGAGGTGGTGCTATATGTAAAACTGATAAAATGAAAATATTTTTGAGATATGTAGGTGATTCGGGCTTTCAAACAGGAAAAGATATTGGTGTGCATCAAACTTCTGTTTCTAAAGTTGTGACTCAAGTTGCTGACAAGATGATAGAAAAATGTGGACAGTGGGTAAAATTTCTTCGCACTCCGGCAGATGTTATAGAAGCCAAAGAAAGATGGCAAACAAAGTACACTTTTCCATGTGCCGTGGGTGTGATCAAACACTACACCATGTAGCATAATATGAATGAAGATCTAGCTCTTAGCAGTAGTTAGGGGTGCACTTGAAATAGACATCCAATTCCTATTTCATTTCCTGTTTTTGGTGTTTGCTTTACTCGTTTGAGTGTGAAGCTAACAGCAAAAAAGATGGCAAAAACCAGAAACAGTAAATGACAAAATAAAACACTAAATCATTACAATACACCAAAACACTTTTACTTTTACTTTAACTGTTCAGTTCTTTATCATCTGCCGATGATGCTAACATGGTTAGCGAAACGCGCGTCCAGTGTAAAAGTAAAAGTGTTTTGGTGTATTGTGGTGATTTAGTGTTTTATTTTGCTGTGTAACACCAAAGATTCCAACCCTCAACTGTAAGTAACAGTAAATGAAACAACAGATAGTAAAATTAGTAAAAAGCTTTGAGTGCCCCTATACATACTTTTAACATATACTTTATGATCTATTTGACTTTGTTAAAATATATAGCTTTATTTTGAGACAACGGCCTTCACTTAATAGAAACATCAGTAGCGGCTCGTGACCATTAGAAGTGATGAGGCGACGCAAACGCGGACGAAAGGGGGGGGGGGTCTAAGCTGCAACAAGTTTAATATTTTTTGTTCCTCAGATATAATATGTTTGAAGGTTTAACCTACTAAAAATGTCATAAGAACTTTTTTTTGTTTTTATGTGTTTATTTTCTTTTTGTTTTTTTAAGCAGCTAAGCAACAATAAGCTAGAGATTTTTTTGCTCCTCAGATATAATAAGTTTGTAAGCATAACTTATTAAAAAAGTCATCATTGGAACTGTTTCTTTATTTTTTTTCTTCAGAGTATAAATAATATAACTTAAACATATATTAGGTATTACCTAACTAATCTAATGATCGTAATATAACAGCTCTAATTTGAGGTTTTCGTTAGGTTAGTAAGACGGAATTTGTCACATCAAGCTCTACGACGCGCGACGCGACGACATAAATAAGAAACAAACAAGTAAAAAATAATTAAAAAATGTAATTGTATAAGAATTATTCCTTGTAGGTTAAGTTTATTCGTCTGTCTTTAAGAATAGCAAATTTATCAACTATGTCATCATAAAACTTCCCTTCGTTCTCACTAAGGGTAACCAACAGCGCAATTGAAAATAAAGACAAAGCAGAAAGTCTATCTTGTAACATTCTATTTCTTAAGTAAAATTTTATCCGTCTTAGACAAGAAAAATCCCGCTCGACTTGAACACTTGTAATCGGGATCGTTAATTTGTCTTTTTATCATTTGTTATAACACTTATCTGGGGAGTAGGTCTGTTTCCCTATAAGACCTCTCGCTTTTCATCCTCCTGTCTTCTGGAAAACGGGGTTTCTAGACGGGACATCACAATGTCATGTACATGATTCATTTTAAAGTCTGATTATTACAAAATAAATCACTAAACTCTGAATTACGGCTAGATCACACTACTTGCTACTCACAAAGGCATAAAACAAACCAACCGAACAGACGTGACGTTTAGTAATTCCCCGAAATATCTAAAGTTAATTATTTTGACCAGTATTGCGTGGATGCCAAGAGTTCATATTATTCAAATTTATTCTATACTCCCTTCGATATACGATATTATTTCCATAATTATTGATGGGGTATTTCGTGAAGATCAATTAATAGATTAATTTTAATTACAAAGAGCATTATAATATCGCATTATCCAGCCATATCAAGCACGAACTATTTTTGAACTTAACAATCAAGTTTGGTTTGGTTTGGTTTGGTTTGGTTTGGTTTGGAATGGCTTTTTTTTTCATGAATCTGGCAACTGCGTTGCACTTAAGCGATTTGGCTGTCGCCTCTGCAGCAGCTAATTTCACGCTTTCCCTCCGCTTCCCCGACCCACTGATTTCAATGTGTGACGTTTTAGTTTATTGATAAAAAAAGGTCGGCAGAGGCGGCAAAAATTACGCCTCAGGAACGCAGAACGAAAAGATGCATTGTAGTCCAGTTAAAACAGAAACGATATGGCGCGATCGGTTGGTTTAGACCGGTCGAAAAGTAAAAAGCTTGGTATATTTTAATAAAATTATTCAATATTAATATTGCTATAATATAAATATACGATTAGCTGGAAATAAATTTGTGTACTACTAAAAGATAGAATTTCGAGGTGAGGCGGCGCCTCAGTTGCCTCACCTAACGGGCCGCCACTGAGAGACATCGTACTTTACCGTTATATTTGAAAGGCGTTGCAACTTTCCGAACCGTGTGTACACACACGTACGGTACGTCGTGTGCTAAACATGCAAGCGCGGAACGCGGTTCTGTTTGCTCCCTAATCCAGCCTCAAACACCCGAGGCACGGCCGATGCCTTAGCTCTATTGACACGCTTTAATCAATAATAATACCGCCGATCGAGGATGCATTACGGCCTTAAGATGGCGAGATGACGGACTTACCATATCGAATGGGATCGAATCGATTGTCTGGAAAAAAGTAAAGGTGCATAAAGGATACCAAACACAAAATCAAATATATTTAGTGAGATTCCAAAGGTAATTAATACTTACTCCCTATACAGGGTCAGCCTTAAATAAGTGCAAATATTTTTAGGGGTAGTATATTTCGATCCCAGAAACATGATTATGAGAGTCTATCCGCAAAAAAATTTTTTTTAAAATTTTGAATTTTCTGAAAAGAATTTTGGATTTTTTTTTATTTTTTAGTTAAGAAACATAATTTCTTGATAATATGGCAATATAGGTAGTAGATTAAATTTACAAGAAAGAAAATGCAGAAAAGATCCAGTGGTTCTCAAAATTTAAGCAAAAAATTATTTTTGTTTTGCAAATTTTCAAAGTAAAATAACTCGGTTATTTTGGATTTATTTGAAAAACGGTAAAGAGAAAATATGTTTCATTTATCGAGATCTACTAGCTCTGAAAATATTTGCTCTTATTTAAGACTCACCCTGTATATCTGCAGTATCTCAAGGAGGAAAAACTTCTTTATTATTGATATTTTGAGAAAAACGCTTTCTTCATAAAAAATTTTACTTGTTCTAGAATAGTTAATCCCGTTTGTACATTCCAAATTTCCATACCGTTTTAGAGAAAATTTAAAAAACCACGAAAATTTAGTTGAATTTTTCAGTTTATCAGTTGAAGTCTTAAAAATCAAAAGGCATTTCTATGGTAATATCATTAAGATTTCATTGTTTGATAGATGGTTATTATTCATTTCCATTATTAACGTCATATTTTTTGCTGCTGTTAATTAACTATTATGACCCTTTTCGTAGAAATGAACTAAATAAATTTTATAGATACATTTTAAAATAGCAAAAAATATGACGTTAATTAAAACTTTATTAATTACAATCTGTCAAAGAATGTCATCAAAATGATGTTACCATAGAAACTCCTTTTGATTTTTAGGGCTTAACTATGTTTCCATGTTTTTTTTTAATTTTCTCCAAAACGGTATGGAAATTTGTAAAAGTACCTATAAACCGGATTAACGATTTTAGAACAAACAAAAATTTTTGTGAAGAATGCATTTTTCTGAAAATGTCAATAATAAAAAAGTTTTTCTTACAAGAAGACAATCCGAGGACATACTGTGCATATGACTGTACAGGGTGGACCATTTTGGTTGTTTCTATAGGGTATCTAGGAAATCGTGAGAAATATTCAAATTTTGATACTGCAGTCTCGGGTTCTTTTTTTGAAAAAATTCCAATGGCGCAAACGGATCGTGGCTATCTTGATCGGTTACAAAGCTACAGGGGGATTCTCAAATTTTGTACTTTTTGAAGATGTTCGATAGTTTGTTTATTTCAGCAACCACGGAAAATGAATTATACATTCTAAAGGCACTTTTCTATGTAGAATGCAGTGGCGTTTTGAGATATTAACTATACTTATGTTTTTTTAAATAGAACCCCCTGTATATTTTTAAATTTTCTTCTTCAGCTTGGCATGGGCTTCTCGAAAATATATAATACTCTATATTTATTTTCACTATTAACCTCAATATTTCAAATTTTTCTTAAAATATCCACTTAGTAGATAGTAGGCCGCGCCGAGTAACAAAGTAAACGGTTGTCATGGTGATCGGAACATACCTTTGATGGATGCGAGACATTTCATATCAACAGATTGAAGTGTGTGTATTTTAAATAATAAAAAAATTAGTAAATTTGAAAATTTTGAGAAATATAATATGTTAGAATGTTATATTGAGTCTAACAAACATAAGCAAATGGCAGCTGATTTATATTTTGAGCAGTATCCAGAGCGCGAGGAACCAAACCCAGCCATTTTTAAAAGGTTAGAAGATAGTTTAATCAATTTTGGATCTTTTCAAAAATCGCGTCCGAAAAATTGTCAGAAAGAAGATGAAGAAAATCAATATATTAATT